TTCCAGGCTGGGAGTGTAGCTCTAGGAATGCTAATATTTATCAGTCACTTTGCGACTGTGGTCCAGCTATAAATACACCGATCAGGCATAACATTATGACCACCTGCATTATGTCCACTTTTTGCTCCCAAAACAGCCCTGACCCTTCAAAGCTTGCACCCCTCTAGACTCCTGAAGGTGTGCTGTGGGATCTGGCACCAAGATGTTAGCAACAGATCTTTTGAGTCCCGTACACTGTGAGGTGGGACCTCTGTGGATACTTCTTTGTCCAGTTCTGGGGCGAGGTTTTGGAGGCCAAGACAACGCCTCAAAGTTGTTCCTGAACTATTTTTGCTTTGTAGAGGGTGCATTATTCATCTGAAAGAGTGCACATGGTCTGCAACAGTGCTTAGGTAGGTGGTAACATCCACATGGATGGCAGGACCCAAGGTGTCCCACACTGCCTCTTCCAGCTAGCCTTCTTCCCATAGTGCATCCTGGTGCCAGGTGTCTCCCCAGGTAAGCGATGCACACTCACCTGGGGATGTAAAAGAAAATGTTGACTCATCAGACCAGGCCATGTTCTTTTATTGCTCCGTGGTCCAGTTCTGATGCTCGCATCAGTGAGCCTTGGTCGCCCATGACCGTGTCACTGGATCACCACTGTTCCTTCACTGGAGCTCTTTTGATAGATACTGACCACCGCACACTGGGAACACCCAGTCCCCATGCTTGCCCATTTTTTTCTGCTGCTAACACATCAACAACATGATGAAGACATAATCAGTGTTATTCACGTCACCCGTCAGTGGTCACAACGTTATGCCTGATCTGTGTTCCTCAATTATCTGACTTTTACACACATGGCACCAAAAGATGAATCCTTATGTTTTTCTTTCCTTAGCCATGCTAAATATCTGAAAATGGACTGCACAGTTTATAATAACATTAGATGTTTTGTTGCTACTGCTACTGTGGGGACAGTATAGTGAAGAATCATTAATGAGAACACGAAAGCCAACAGCTTAGTAAAGTTTCACTCACATCACATGTATAAATATGTGCAGTTTGACGTGTTTAATTCAGATACGTTTTCTCTCAAACTGCTTAAATGCAAATGAGTGTCTGACTAAAATTTTTTTTTTTTTAAAAACGCAACAACAAACAAAAAACCTCAGCAGATAGTAATGTTACATGACTGCTAGCCTTTGCCTCAAGGTAGATTTCGGCGCAGGTATTGAATCTTACAGTGTTTACTTTCTCTCGCTGCCAGTGTGACACTATAGCTGCTCTCACTCCCACGTGTTTAAAAACCTGCTTCAGAGAGCGTGTGCTACAGGTTTGCGTGAGCCTGTATCCATTCCACCTGCTGCTTTCAGTCCAGATGAGTCGATGCATTTCAAGCTTCTTTTGTTTTT